GTCAGGGCCGGGCGCTTCCCGCCGTAGACTGGGTCAGCGGCAAGGCCAGGCCTCCCCTTTCTTAATTTATCCTCTTGAGCTTTCTGTCCCTGACATGGTGTGCAGATTTTCAGTTTGTTTTCAGGTTGGCCTTTTTCTCTCATTTCAGTATCATACACGTTTGTATTTTATCAACATTTAGGAAAATGAGTCTCTTATTTGCAAATTGATTTTGGAATGGGGAGCATCTTACAGATGCAGCATGTAAGGGAGTTGGTGTTGCAGCCTGCCTCCTCGAGCCTTCCTACCCGATGACATGGGTCCTGCAGACACGGTGGGGTGACTGTCAACCCTGCCCTGTCTGAGGACCATGTGACTCTATCCTCACAGCTGGGCAGAAGTGTGGGCCCCCCACTCCTGCAGCTCTTCTTGGATCTCCTCAGGCGCCTCGTCCTGCACTGTGAGCAACTGGACACCCAGAGCCAGCAGAAGTGCGAGGCTGCCCGGGCTGAGGCTGATGCTGATGCTGATGCTGACCTCTTTGTGGACATGGAATCCATGGCCTTGTCGGAGCTGGCCAGTGACCAGGTACTGCTGCCCTCTTCCCTGGGATACCTGCCACAGAGCGTGGTTTCTCTTCACTTCTGATTGAAAACAAGTATGGTTTATTGTAGAAAAATTGGAAGCTGCAGAGAACCATAGCAACGAACTGAAAACCGTTCCTAACAGCCCCCACAGAGATGAGGGTGGTGTAGTTTGCACCCCCTCCTATCCGTCCCTTACAGTCACTGTCCCCGTAGCACGGGCTTCCCTCACACTGTGTGCTGGGAGCAAGTGTCTTCTTGGTAGCTGCAGCCCGTGTACATGAAAGATGGGCAGAGAGCCAGGCTTCTCGCTGTGAATGGCCAAAGGAAACACCCCAAGAAGCAGCGGCCCCTTTCTTGCCTGTCTTGGTCTTATGAAGTGGGCTGTGAAATTGGGGCCAGGGCAGATATTCCTCACAGGTGGCCATGGAGCCTGCTTTACTGAATTCAGGGTGCAGATGTGTTCCCTGACTCACGAGCTAGCTGACAAGAACTGTCTGCTTCTGATCTCCACGTTGGCTTTCTGAGAGGCAGGACACCCTGTTAGGCAGCTAATGTGGGTAAGGCAAGCCTGCCCTATAATCAAGCTTTTCTGTTTTCAGTTGGCAAAGTTCTGTTAGAAAATGTAATAGGCTTGGGACCAGCAGTTAGCGTAATGGCTATGTCGCTGGACTCCCACGTAGTCAACCGCGGTTCGTGTCCCGGACCCAGTGGCTTAAAATTCATGCCGGGCACGTGTGCGTGCATGCCCAAGATCCCGAGAGGTGAATGGAGGAGAAGGGATTGCGGCATGGCCATCCCCTCTGAGGGGTGATTTCTTGCTTTCTATCTCTCTGTCTCTCTCTGTCTGTCTTGGAAGCACACGTGTCCTATAGCAAAAACCTCTCCAAAAGAAAAAAAAGAAAATGTAATAGGCTTCTTTTCCTTTCTTTAAGAATAAATAGGCAAGCTGGCCCCATAGCCTAGTGAATAAGGAAGTCAGATCCTACAGGGCTGACCACAGTTTGAATCTTGGGCTTAAAAAACACACTGGGTACATCCAACTCCCAATAGGATGGAGAAATGGAGGAGAAGGGATCATGGCATGACCACACACCACTGGGGAGTACTCTCTCTCTGTCAAACACACATGCCTCTAATTAAAATTAAACAAATCATGGCTAGGAATGGGAAATGTATTCATGTCCTGGGGACCTGGGATAACTTCAAGGATAGGACTAGTGCTCAGGAAGGCTATGTACAACAGCCAAACCGAATTACTCTCTAATGCAGCACAGGGTATTCAGCTGCTTTCTGACCAGGAGTTTAAACTCCAGTCGGCTGGGTCAGAATGAGGTCCGTAAAGCCCAGTGTTCTGAAAGTGGAGATGGATTTCTGCAGTCCAGGACTGGGGAAGTCAGTGGTTTAATCCTAGTCTGTCCTTTCCAGATGCTTGTCTAGTTGCGATCCCCTGTTCCAGGTGCCAGGAGAGGCCCACTGTTGGGCACAGCCCTGTGGAGCACCCCTGTGCCCTCAGTTCATTCAGGCTGGGTTGTCAGACACGTACTTGTGAATCTGGGTGGGATACTAAGCAAGCCAGTCTAGCCCCCAGGCTCATGGTGACATAGTGGAGGTAGCTGGTGGTCATGGTGCAATGGGGTAACAGTTTTGTTTTTTTGTTTTTTTGTTTTATTTTTTGAGAGGTTTTTTGTTTTTGTTTTTGTTTTTTGCTATAGAGTGTGTGCACTTGCCAGCCAGACAGAGACGGAGAGACAGAAAGCGAGAAATCACCCCCCAGGAGGGATGGTCATGCCACAATCCCTTCTCCTCCATTCTCCTCTTGGGATCTTGGGCACGCATGCACATGTGCCCGGCGTGAGTTTTAAGCCACCGGGTCTGGGACGCGAACCACGGTCGACTACGTGGGAGACCAGGGACATAGCCATTATGCTAACTGCTGGTCCCCAGTGGGCTAACAGTTTTGACGAGGCTGGATTGGGATGCTGTGGATGCCTGAGAGGGGCATTGAACATGGGCTTGAAGTTGTAGAGGGCTGGAACACTGCTTCCTGCTGTCTGTCTCACTAATGACAGCGAGTACTTGCTTAGTGGCTGTTGCCCCTGCCCTGTGTGAAGTCTGTGCCTGTCACTCTGTTTCAGATGTTGGAGGAGGTGCTCGTGGCCATCCTCAGGCACCCCACACTGGAAGGCTGGTTCCTGGCCCTGGAACAGCAGGCCCTCCCCCCGCACACCCTCAGCCCCCTACTTGTGAAACTCTTGGCAACCCACCTCAGCACAGGGGTCCTTCAGCTACTAGCAGCCAGTGCCCCAATCCTCCGGAACACCGGTCAGCTGGGCCTCCTGGCCAGGTACTTCGAAGCCATCACCCAAAGCGTGTTGAAAGAGCTGCGAACCAGGAGAACTGGGCGAGCCACACTGCCACCGAAGACCCTGCCTCAGCTAGAGGCCCTGCAGAAGCTGCACCCATACATGGAGGGTGCCCAGCTCCGTGAGATCATCCTGGCCCTGCTGAGCCTTCCCAAGGCCCAGCTTGTTACCCAGCACCCCATGAAGTCTCCTGGGCAAGAGAAGCACTTGAATGACTTTGGGAAGACACTGGTGCAGCTGCTGGCCTGCAGTTCCCAGGATCAGCTGCAGAGTGGCGAACTGCTCCAGTCTTCCGAGTACGTGAGAGGCCTGGGGGCTTTGCTCCCCATGCTGGCCATGGATGAGCTGGATGCTGTGTTCTTCCGCACTCTGCAGAAAGAGCCCACACTGGCCCCCGTGGTTGCTGTTGACCTGCTCGACTACTGCCTGGCCCGGCAGACACCCACCACCCTCAGCATTGCTGCCCTGCTCCTTGGGCAGAGCTGCCCCCACCTGCTGTACTTCGAGCTGTGGTGCCAGCGGACTGGCACAGGACGGAGCCTGCAGGAGGCCTTGGACGACTTTCTCCCCCTGGTCCAAGTCTACCTGCAGCACAGAACTCAGGGACTCTTCACACGACCAACAAAAGGTACAGGTGACCAGGAATTTTAGGTCAGAGGTGCTCGGGACGTCCACATTTAAACCGTGAACTTCACATTCCCGGCTGTAGTTCATGCTGTGTCTTCTCCAATGTCAGCCCCGCTCTGGAGATTGAGAAAGACAGGACCTCCCCCTCAATACCCCTCCCCCCACTCTCTGCCTACGGCTTGTGGGATAGCCTCTTCCACCCCTCAATTCCCAGTTACCCAACAAAGCCAGAGGAGGAACGTGGTAGTCAGGGCCATCTGGGGCTGGGTCCTGCTAGGTCGAAAGACTCACTCAGGGCTAACTGTCCCTTGTCTGTTCTGATCTTCCCACCTCGGGGAGTGTGTAAGATGGTGTCAGGTCAAGGCAGCTTGGGTCCAGCTCTCTTACTTCTCCACCTTCTGGGTTTCAGGTCTGAGGCACTTTTTGATGATGTCGAATTTAGTTTAATTCCTTTTTGTTGAATGTGCGAATGCTTTTTCACTCACCGCTTTGCCTGTTTTGCGTAATTTTCTATCAGTGCTAACAGACGTTTGAAAAAGTAAGACGGCCCTGCGGGCAGAGCCTCCTCATCGATGATTCTCGAGTCACCTCCCCTGCAGTAGTACCTCCCCTGTGGTATCTTTGAAAAATCAATGCCATGTGTTCAGAACTTGGTATTTACTGTCGTGGTGTGAACTTAGAGCTGGGGGCTGTAAGGGCCCACTGGTAGAAGAGTATAAGAATGTTGATTGTTAAGATGTGCCCAATGGCATGCCAGTAAATGTTTCATCACCAATCTTGGAGGAGACTCATTTGTAGCATTTGCCAGTTTCTGTGGTGTCAGTGTTCCTGTCATGGCCAATTTCAAGCCACGAGTGTGACATCACTCGTTTACAGATACCTGAAGTACAGCAGCTGGCACCTGTGAGCTGGTCCATGCTGGCTCCAGCCCACTGCTGTGTGCAGTGACCTCTCCCCTGTGTCTCTGCCCTAGTGTCCAGTGCTGTCATTCCTGTCTTAAGGAAGGCCCTGTGGAAACAGCTGCAGAGCAGGCTTCTCAGTGCTGACTTTGCCCCGGAGTCTGGGCTGCATCAGGAGATCCTCGCCCAGCTGGTGCCATTTGTGAGAGCCAAGGATCTGAGTGTCCTCAGGGACTGTTTGCCCAGCTTGCTGCAGACTCCCAGCAGTCACAACAGGTGCGAAGGCGCAGGTGGTTTGATGGCCATTTCCATTTTACCTTCTCGTTAGCATCTGTGGAGTATGTGAGTATGGCATTGCTGTTGTGCCCATCAGTGAGACACTTCCTACAAGGACACTTCCTGCCAGCCGTCCCGTGCAGCAGGCACAGCTATAGATCAGTGGCTGGATCTGATTCCCCGAGGGCAGTGGTTCTCAATGGGAGCGGGGGTGCTGGTGATTTTACCCCCAGGGAATGATTGGCAGTACCTGACATCTTTCATGTCATGCTTGGATTGGCTGTGGGGGTGAGGGTTGCTTCTGCATCTAGAGGGTGCAGGAGGCTGGGGTGCTGCTGAATGTGCTCTGATACAAGAAAGCCCCCCCCCGCCACTGCCCATGAGAAAGGATTACCTGGCCCAGAACACCCGTGCTGAAGTTGGGAAACCCTGATTTAGAGAAAGTCTAAATGAGCTCCTAATCTGTCCTTTTTTGGTGCTGATGTTTCTCTTGGTTGTAAAAATTCTAGTCTATCTTTTGTGTTTGAATAAGAGTCAATGAAGCTGTGACTCCTGGGAGTGGGTAGTGTAGTGAGCAGGACTCAGCGGGCCTATCCCTTTTGGAATTTGTAACGTCGCATTATTCATAGAGCCCTAGGGATTAAGCCAGCCCTCTCCATCACCTTCATCTGCAGCAGTTGGATCGTGGCTGACTCTATCTTGGGAGCCCTGGAAGCATCAGCAGGAGAACTGTGTGCCTGGAGGAAGACCCTCCTCGGGTCCTGCATGAAGTGGCTGATCAGGTCTTTCAGTGGTAGCCAGCAAGATGATGACACCGCTCAGGATCTGGATCAAGAGAAACAGATGCTGCTGAGGTTAAATGAGCTGTTGGTAGGTGTTTCTTCTTAGAGATCCTGGTTAAATTTTTAATACAAAGAAGAAGTTAGACCAATCAAATTTTTATATATATGTGCGTGGATATATATATACATACACACACACACACACACACATATATATGTATGTGTATATATATGTATAAATTATTATTCATACATTAAAATAACATGGTAGAACTGAGCCAAATACAAATGAGGCTGTCAGGGTGAAAAAAAAATTAAGGAACCAATAATTAAGTCAAACCTTTTCTTCCTTGAACCTCTAAAGCTTACTCCTAAAACTATTAGTCAAAGCAGAAAGTCTAGGGACCCCAGCCTATGTGAGATCAGTGGCCTGGTGTGAAGTGAGATGGGCCGTGTCTAGGGGCAGAGACATCCTTGAATGGATGAGCCATCTTTTGTCAGGAATTAGATGTTGCCTAGTGTTTTATTGAATTGACTGAGATATTTCAAGGTCTTATTTTTTGTTTAATCTGTTAATGAGACCTATATTGATTTTTTTGAATGTTAAACAAACCTTGAATTATCGGATAAACCTACGTGATTATGGTATATTATTTATTTTATATGTCACTGGATTTTTTTTTTTTTTTGGAGAGGTTTTCGCTATAGGGCGTGTACACTCGCCAGACAGACAGAGAGAGACATAGAGACAGAAAGCGAGAAATCACCCCCCGGGGGGATGGTCACGCTGCAATTCCTTCTTCTCCATTCTCCTCTCGGGATGTTGGGCACGCACGCACACGAGCCCGGCGTGAGTTTTAAGCCACCAGGTCCGGGACACGAACCGCAGTCGACTACGTGGGAGTCCAGCAACATAGCCATTACGCTAACTGCTGGCTCCCTATGTCACTGGATTTGATTTGCTAACATCAGGTTGAGAATTTTTATCTGTGTGCCTGATGAATATTAGTTTGTAATTTTATTTTCTTATAGCATCATTGGTCCTAGGATCAGGTAAGGCCAGCCTCATAGAATGTGTTCACAAGTTTCACTGGGTATAAAATTCTAATTTAGCAGGGATTTTTTTTTTTTTTAAGTGTTTTAAAAATGTTGCTTTACTCTCCTGGTCCATTTTGTTTCCAGTAAGAAGTCTGAGAAGCTTATTTTTTTATTCCCCTTATGTTCATGTCATTTTTCCCCTCTGGCTGAGTTTAGGATTTTTTTTTTTCTCTTTTTTGAGAGATTTTTGCCTTAGGCCACATGCAGTGGACAGAGAGAGAGAGAGAGAGAGAAACAGTGAGAGGGAAAGTGAGAAATGACCTTTAGGGGGATGGCCATGCCACAGTCCCTTCTCCATTCTCCTGCTGGGATCTTGGACATGCATGTACACGCTTCTGACATGATTTTAAAGCCACTGGGTCTGGGACTTGAACTGTGGTTGGCTATGTGGGAGTCCAGTGACATTGCTACACCGTCTGCTAGCCTCAAGAATTTTTTTTAAAACATCATTTAAAGCAATTTGACTATGATGCACTTTGATACAGTTTTCTCCAAGTTTCTTGTGTTTGGAGTTCAGTAAGATTTTTAAATTTTAAACTTGGGTTTATAGTCTTCATAAAATTTAAAAGTATTTGGCCATTATTCCCTCCTATGAAATGCGTTTAAAAAGAAAGTCAGTTTTGCACACAAATAATAAATACTCACAGGTTAGTGTAAGTATATAAGTTATTCCTTAAATGCATGGTGTAATTGCCTTAAATTCTGAACACAAAATTTGAAGTAATTTTCAAGAAAATAACCCTGGCTATAAGTAAACAAGGCTATGGGAAATGTTTTCATAGGACATAGACCAAACCACATGCTTACTAAGTTGCTTAAAGAAACTTAAACCTGGGGAACCAGCAGTTAGCATAATCACTATGTTGCTGGACTCCCACGTAGTCGACTGCGGTTCGTGTCCCGGACCCGGTGGCTTAAAACTCATGCCGGGCGCATGTGCATGCGTGCCCAAGATCCCAGGAGGAGAATGGAGGAGAAGGGATTGCAGCGTGACCATTCCCCCTGGGGGGTGATTTCTCGCTTTCTGTCTCTATGTCTCTCTCTGTCTGTCTGGCGAGCGCACGCGCCCTATAGTGAAAACCTCTCAAAAAAAAGAAACTTTAACCTGTATTTTGTATTTTCAGGCTCAGTTCGTTGTTGCAGGTTTGCAGCGATAAGGTGTGCAGCAACCCACCCAGACATGGCAGGCCTAAGAGAGGAAGTTGCCCAAGATCTAGAAAGAGCTGAGCCTTAGAGGGCTGGGGGAGGGCGTCACACAAGTGGTTTTCACCTATTAGTAAATGAATAGCTAATTGCAAATTTGTTAGTGCTGTCTGAAATGGTTAATAAGGGGAAAGGAAGTAACAGGAATGCTCAGAAGGTTATCCTTTCTCCATTTAGTGATTATGTATCTGCTATGATCAGAGCTACTAGCAGAAATAACTATTTTTTTAAGTTAAGAGAAAAACTATGCATTTGTGGATTATTTGGATTAGCTATAGCTCATACTTACCGAATGGCTCTAACAATTCTATAGTCTACATTTAGTTTTTGTTTTGAGATAGTCTTGGTTCTGCTCTCTGTACCTGTAACAATGAGCTATCCAGGGCAGCCTTGTAGCATGGCTGTTGAGCGCTGCGCAGAGGGAGCCAGACCCCACCATGGCTGGTGGCTGTTTGAATCCCTGCCCTGTGGGCTGAGAAACATGCCCAGTAATTCCTGATGGGATACAGAAATGGAGGAAAAGAGGACTGTGGCCTGACCAGGCCCTACTGGGGAGTGCTTCCTGTCTCTCTCATGCACACATATGTACCTTCAGGCATTTAAAAAAAAAAAAGTGGTACTATCACATGCTTATCAATAATCTCATAGAAACTAGAACAGAGGAGATACTGGGTAGATCACAAATGCCAGAGCAGGAGGGGACACCAAAGTTCCTCTTTCCAATTCTTTTTTTTTTTTTTTTTTTTGGTGTGTGTGTGCTATGTGCTAACTTTATAGTAGACAGTCTTTTTTTTTTTTTTTTTTATAATTACTTTATTGAACTTTATTTTAATTTGACCAGAGTGGAACAGAACAAGCGAGTGAGTGAGAGAGAGCAAGCCGCCAGGTCCGGGACTCAAACCACGGTCAGCCATGTGGGAGTCCAGTGTGAGTCCAGCATCCTTAACCACCATGCCAATGGCTGGCCCCTCTTTTCAATTTTCTGACCTTATGTTTTGCAGAGGAAGACTGAGACCTAGAAGAAGGCACCTTTTAGAATTTTCTTTTGAATTAATTGAGAAATCTTATGCACATTTATTGTTTATTTGTAGCTTGCACTTAATGAAGTCGATCCTGGTGATTGGCAGAAATTTGTGAAGATAGGACTCAAGTAAGTTGATTTTCTTTTCTTGGCGCAGTTTAGTAACGGTGTGAATGTGGTTGATCACGCAAAGCTTCTTTTATGCTTTGCTGTTAGCATAATACATGTGCTAGAGCAGATGTTCTTTTTAGAGACAGAAAATGTGGATTGTTGGAGATAAGAAATGATTTGCCTATTGATGTGTGATGTGTTTCTAATAACAAGAAGCCCTGCTTTTAAAAAACGAAATATTTGGGACCAGCATTTGGCATGGTTTTTAAGGCGTTGGACTCTACATGGTCGACTGTGGTTCAAGTCCCAGACCTAGTGGCTTAAAAATCACACTAGGCACTTGTGTGTGTGTGCCGAAAATCCCGAGACGAGAATGGAGGAGAAAGGATTGTGGCATGGGCATCCCCCTGGAGGGCAATTTCTTACTTTCCTTCTCTCTCTCTCTCTCTCTCCAGTGAGTATACACACCCTATGGCAAAAAAAAAAATCTTTAAAAAATTTATTTTTAATATGGAAATGTGCAGAGAATTATAGCAGCATCAAATTTAATAAATGCTGACAGTTTTCAGTATTTGTTTTAATTCATTCTTATCTCCCCATGCCCCCTGGAAGGGCATTGGTCTTCCAAGGCTGCACTTTGTCTTGTGCATGGATACTTTGTATTTTCATCCTTTACCTGTCAGTGTGTTTCAGCAATAATGTTAGTGTGTTTAACAATTTATAGAGATGCATTGTTTATATGTCCTTCTGTTCACTCAGATGTGTTTTGATTTATGCACATCTGCACGGACTTCAGTGTTTGTATTTACTGCTGGGATGTGTACTGTCTTTTGACTGCACCAGGTTGTATAGCCAGTCCTGTACTGACAGACCTCTGGGTGTTTCCCCAGATCTGCCTCCCATAGAGTCCTGCAGTGACTCTTTCAGGTCTCCTGGTGCACAGGTGTCTGGGGCAGGGTGGGGGTGAGCGGGCTGTTGGTGCAGGGTCAGCCTCAGTTTCACTACAGGTTCAAACTGCTCTCCAAAGTTGCTGAGAGAATTTGCGCTCCCATTTCTGTGTGCCTGAGAGTTCATTTTCCCTCACTTCCTCAGGCTTTAGTTTCAGACAGTCACATAGTTGTGAGACAATGTTTTATTGTGCCCGTAATTTTCATTTCTGTGATAATTCGTAAATTTGAGCCAGTCATGCCACAGGAGGAGAAGTGCAAGTGGACTCCAGGTTTATGACAAGTGTAGATTGCCGTTGTGGAATGGCGACGTTTCTTTCAGCCCTTGGTTAGTTTGTGCTTGTAGAATGTCTCCTCTATGTTGGCTGATTCTGAACAATATTCAGTGGAACTGAAAAGGCTTCCCTAGAGTGCGATGCTTTCTTTCAGTTAGTGGGTTTCAAAGAGATTTAAGATGCAGACAGCTTCTGAATCATTAGTGGAGTTCCGAGTAGCCAGAAGGAAGGAAGGAGGAAGTGACCCAGGGAGGCGGGCCGGGGCACTGAGTATCATCTTTACTCGGGCTCAGCTGCTCCGCTGCCTCTGCCTGTCAGAGAAACAGGAAGTTCCTTTGGTGTTGGCGTGGTGGAGGAAACAAGTGTGCTGCTTCCCTCTCTTGTTTTCGGAAGTGCTCTCTGATGGAGAGGTTCGTGATGACGCAAGTTGTTCTGATATGTTCAATTGTTAATAAAAATACCTGAACCTGTGTGGTGTGGAGGTTTAGACAACTGGATTCTGCGTGGCCATCTGCACGGTTTGAGTCTCGGACCTGGCGGCCTGAAAAGCAGTGCCTGGCACGTGTGCGTGTGCACCTAAAATCCCTAGAGGAGGATGGGGAGAAGGGACTGTGGTGTGGCTATCCCTGCTGAGGGGTGCTTTCTCACTTGTACTCTCTCTCTGGCAAACACACATGCCCTATAGCAAACTAAACAACAACAGCAACAAAACCCTAAAAACAAAAAAAACAAGTCTGGATCATTTAAGAGAATGGAGGTTTATGAGGCTCATGGGTTAAGGGTTCACGGCCAGGGCTTCACCTGGCAAGGGTCTTCTTGGTGGTGAATAACATGGCAGAGCTAGTGCAGATATGTCCGTGTCCAGGGTCTCATTTGCTTTCCTTGTAAGGTCACCAGGACTGAGCCTTGGGGCCCTACCCTGATACCTAATCACTTCCCAAAGTCTCACCTTTTGCCACCGTAATCAGAGTAAGTCGCCACCTCTCAGCACTGTTATGATGGCTCATCAGATTTGAACACATGACTGTTAGGGGGACACATTCAGATTACAGCCCAAGTGTAACACCAGGTCACTAGTAGGACCCACATGATAGATATGTGACTATTCACCATGAAATTCTCAACTTTGTGTTGTGCTTAAAAATTTTTATAATCAAATGCCGAGAAAAACCTTTCCTATGAAATAAAGTTTCCCTTTAGTGAGGTTCTTTTCCTTTTACCTCTCGTCTCAGATTTCGGTATCAGGACCACACGTTTTTGAAGAGCCTCAATGGTGCCATGCAGCTCCTGTACAGCCCAGAGAGCCCAGTGCACACGGCGCTCACCCCACTCCCCATGGTCCACATGATGCTTACCCAGCATTCCCTGTTCTTGCCAACGCTCCTGAAGTCCGAGGAGGAGGAACACCCAGATGGGCGAGTGAAAGGTGACCCGCCCCCCAGCCAGCTGCCCATTTCCGATTCAGTTCTGCTTCCAGATTTCATCACGCTGGCTCCTGTGCACCGAAACTTCTCTTCCCCGGGCCTTCAGAGCTAAGGAAGTAGCACCGAGACAGGATTGGAATGTTTTGTTTCTGTCAAATCCAGGTCAAGAATGTTCCCTTTAACTTATCCTCAAACAGCAAATGCAGACCTATTTTCAAGGCCTTGCGTGGCCTGGAGAAGTCACGATGGCACTCATATTGTTGTACCCTGGGCTCATGTGTGATCTGAGAGAGGACAAGAATTAGGACATGTGGGGGGTGTAGGTGTCTGACCAACATACTGTAATTGTTCAGCTGTGTGACACCTCTTAAGCTGCATGGAGAGACTAAAACTCTTTCAAGGGGAAAGGATTAGAACTTGCCTGTTACACGTCACTGCTAGAGAATGCTTCAAACACCCAGATTTAGGGTCTGTCCCTAAATCAGCAAGAATCTTGAGTCTCACAAGTCTTGAGTGCAGTGTAGACATGAGGAATCAGAGAAGGTGGGCTGAGGGCTCCTGCCCTTTCAGAGCCACAGTCTAATATTTAAAGAGACAAAATTAATACCCCAAACTGTCAGAAATCACAAAAGGGTCGATGTATAATTAACAGTAAATCAAAGACAGCCATTACCCAAATACTGTTACGGGCAGAAGAAAAAGTAAAAAAGGCTCCCCCTTTATTCAGGCAGGAGTACCAGAATTAGAGACTATGGTAGAAGAGTCCTTGGAGGAAAATGGTTAGATTTTAAAACCTTAGGTTGTTTAGAGGGAATGAGCAGAGACTTATTTTCAGCCTTGTCAGAGACCTATAAAGAGGGGTGATTTTGGGGTATATTTTATTTAAAAACAAACCGTGGGGATATAGAAGCATGAGAAGTAGTTACAGATACTGGAAACAGTATGGGAAGAGGATGGGGGGTGGGGGAGAGTGAGAGGAAAGGAATCAAGGAGAAAAACAGAGAACAAGATATTTAAGGGACACAGAAATGGAGACTTACCTGTTGAGAACATGTGTCATATTGTTGGTGTGCAGTGTGTCATGTTGCGTAATTCATTTTATAAGCTGTAGTAATGTACAGTGATTAAATGTATAAAGTAAAATAAGAAGAAGAGAAAAACAAACAGTGAGGAAGGAGTAGGAGGCAGTCCTGAGGCCAGTGTTGTTCTCAGGAAGAGATTTTGAGCCCTTAGCAGTTTCCCAGAATGCTCCCTCCTCTCCTTTTATTCTGAGCGTGCGTGTCCAGGCCCTGCATTGCTCACATTTCGGTGTTTTCTCGCAGAAGCGCTGGTGGACCTGTTGTCGACAGTGGTGAGGATGTGTCCCTCTGTCTGCGAGAGCAGCCACTTTGCCGTGCTTCTTGGGGCCTATGGCGCCTCTCTCAGCGTCCTGGGTGAGGGTGTGAGGACTGGGCAGTGTGACCAGGGAGGGTGTCAGAACCGGGAGGTGATCCTCTGGAGTGAGTAAGAGGTTCAGCTTCCTACACTGACTCTGATTCGACTTCTAGACCAGAAGATTCTCCTCCTCCTCCGGGCTTATGAACAGAACAAGCTCAGCCTCGTCACCTTCAGGTGAGTGTTGGAGATGGGGTTGTGCCTCAGGTATGAGGGCACAGCCCAAGAATGCCGCTCCCATGGCACAGTGAGCTCCAAGCTGGGGACCCTCTCTTGCCACCTTTGGTGGGTGGGTGAGAGGGTGGGACTCCCCTAGTTCACAGTCACCTGCGGGGTAAAGTCTGGCCTCACTGCAGAGATCCAGTCTGGGAGGAACCACCTGGCTTGGCTGCCCCTGCGGGATGGATCCCTGTCTGTCACAGACTTGGCCCAGTCTCACTCCCACTGGGGTGTCTCGTTGAGTTGATGTTTCTGAAAGCCCGTCTCTTGATTCATTATGTTAGATGGAATGACTTACGATGTGGGAGATTGGGAGCAAACGGGAGGGCCATTGGATGGTAAACCTACTTGCCATCTTTTCTGCCTGTCTGTGCACATGTGTCATGTCTGTCTGTTTCCCTGGGCTCCCAGTGGCTGCCGGCCAGGGCGACTTTGGTCCTGAAGGGGTCTTGATGGCTTTCTCTAGACGCCCTCATCCATCTGTGCAAGTGCCAGAGCTGAGTGGGACTCGATCACATGTGCTATGGTAGAAAGCAGTTTGGCATTCTCTTCGCTGCACTAGGTTCTTCTTTTCTCCTTAGCATTTGGGACCAGCACCCTGACATCTACCCAGCACGCACCTGAAGGAGGGCTTTGTGTGTTCGGGTGGGAGGGAGCGGACTGGGCCAAGTTCAGGGAGCTCTGCAGGGAAGAGGAAGCTGTACTTCAGAGTGTTGGTTTAAAGATAAAGGCTGTCCCAGCCCAGAAGCCACTCATCCCCAAAGTAAGAAGGAGGGAGAGAAGAAAAGCGTCTGTTTGTCAGGTCTCGGCTGGCCAGTCTCGTCCTCTCCCTTATGTGCTGACCTCACACTTTCTGCTTTGGAACTGGTGCTAGGTTGGTTGTGCCTTTCAGAACAGCACAGCCCCTGCTGACATGAGGGACAGAGAAGAGTGGCTTGGAGGCAGGTTTTAGAGAGGGACAGGCCATTGTTACTACCCAGCATTAGAACCCCCTCTAACTCAGAGGGCAGAGGCCAGACGAGGTTGTGCAGTAAGTATACAGGTTAGAGCTGGTTGTGAAACGAGTCTGTGTACCTGCCTGGAGAAGGGTGTGGGTGAAGGATGAGGGCCACAGGGCTGTGTCCAGGAATGTGGAAACATTTCCTCAGAGCCAGTGGGGAGCTGCTCTTGGGGCTGACGGGGCACACCCAGTTCCCAGCTGCCTGCTGCTAGAGACCACAGTTAGCAGCAGGCACATCTGAAAGGACGATCCTTTGCCTTTTCAGCTATTTACTTGCATAGAAATGAATCTGTTTAGAATTCTATTCACAAGTACTTAATTCAGTAGATGTCCTGCCCTTTATGAGACACTGGGGCTCAGCACTAGGGAAAACCACGAGGAGTGAGACACTGTGTTACCATTGACCCCAGCTGTCTGGTGCTCAGAATTGTCCCTGTCTCTGAAGTGCCACCTGACTCATGGCCAGGGTGTAAACCAGCTCTTACAGAAGCATGAAGAGCAAAGGCCGTATCTGCTCCAGGCACCAGGGTGCTTTGTGACGGGGTGGCACTCGAAGGGTAGGGAGGGACCCGATTGAGGTGAAGTTGGTGGGGGACCCGGGTCACCAAGTGGAGGGAGCGGCATACAGATGGGTGGGAGGAAGTGGGAAGGTCAGGACATGTTGAGTGTGGTGAGTAGGTGGACTCATCCGGATCACATCTTGTGGGAGCAGGTGGTGGGAAGGCCGAACAGGCTGGCTGTTAAGGGCATGAATACTTGGTGGGAGCATTTCCATTTTCATCTAGGAGACAGCAAAGAACTGATGGGCACTTGGAGCAGAGAAGTGGCCCTCATCAGAGCCGGGCTATGGGGAGCTTCCTGGCAGCAGCGGGGAGGGGAAGGGAGGAGAGTGGGGACAGGTAGAGAGGAGGAAGAGGAAGGCCCGCGTTATCTTCCAGGCAGAAGGGGTGTGAGTTACACGTGGCTCACACATTGTGGACTCCCATGGGCAGGACTAGGAGGCCTGGTTCTCATGAACCTCTGTGAGCAGGATGAAATCAGGATCCTACCATTGTGATCAATCATGGACTTGAGTCAGACCACTCCTGCGAATGACCAGCTGAGCAGCTTTCTTAATCCTGTCTCGACCTCTCTTCCCCTGTTGCACAGGAGGTGGTGGTATCTACCTTACAAGGTGGTGTGCAGGCTAAGTGAATTAGTATACATGAGGGGCTTCAGGTTGGGCAGCACTTCATAAGCTGTATGAAGCTGCCAGCTTCTATCACCATCCTGACAGTGTTACCCACTCTGGGCATCACCACCACCTCCCTGGTAACACTGGGATGGGAATGAGGTAGCAGCCCTGGTGTGGACTCACAGCTGGACAGAGACCTGCTGTGGTCATGTACTTGGCATCACCTCATCACTAATTCTGCACATGGTGGGACTCTGTGACCAGTCTGTTCCCTCTCCGGCTCTAGGGTGTTACTTTGGGGCCCAGCAGCTGTGGAACATCACAAGACCTGCCGGAGCCTGGGCAAGTCGCTGTGGCAGCAGCCGAGTGCCGGGGACATTCTACGCCTGCTGGACCGGGACCAGATGATGCACACCATCCTGCACTTCCCCCAGAACCGGAGGCTGCTGTCCCCCGAGGTTCGCTGGGGCTGGCTGGACTCCTTCCCTCTGCACCCTCAGCTGCATTTTCTTGTTCCTGTTTAACTTTTTTATTAAGTAAAATTCTGACCGTGTACAGAGGTGCGACCCCATGTACTCCTAACCTGACTTCAGTGGTTATCAGTGCGGACCACGTGTGTTTCATTTATTACCCCTCCCCAAAAGAGTTATATCAAAGCAAATCCCAAAGATCTTACCACTTCAAGTACAAGCACTGCTTTTTACTGAACCACTTTTGCTTTTATACTCCTAAGTATTCAAGATGGTTTGAGCTCTGGTCTTAGTGGGTAAACTTTTTCCTGGTTTTATACAGCTGTGAGGTTGAATCTTTTGTTGGTTGGGCTGTTTCAGGATGCCCAGGAGCCGATATTTAAAGACAAGAGCACGGAGGATCTCGATGGCCTGTATGACCCCTGCTTTCTTCTTCAGCTCTTCAGTGAACTGACCAGGCCAGGTAACCAAGACTGTCTCACGTGGGACAGGCCTGTTATGCGACCTCAGCATGACCATGGTGACTCTTCAGGTTCTGCTTGGTGATGGTCATTATTTCCATACTCTCCAGATCAGGACCTGAATCTTGAAATTAATTCTTATTTTCAGCCATCTCCTCTCCTTTTCATCCCATTGACTTTCAGCAAAGTCATGGTTCATGATTTGAATACAGTGATTGAAAAAAAAAATCATAGGGGCTGGCCCATATTACAGTAGGTAAGCACTGTGCAGAAAAACCCAGAGCCCATATGTCTGACCAGGGTTTGAGTCCTGGCCCTGGTGACTTGAAAAATGTGGACATGTCCATGTATGCCCAGGATCCTGATGGGATGGAGAATTGGAGAAAAGAGTATGTCATGACCGGCCCCTTTGGTTTGTGGGCACGTGTGCCCTCACTCATGGATGCACACGTGCCCTCTAACATTAAAAAATAAGTTGTAATTTTAAAATCTAGAGCAGTCCCTTTGTCCTTGACGTTTTCCTAATTCTTAATGATGAGCACTTGCTGATTTATAGTACGTAGTAGTCAAACACTAATAGAAATGTTGGTCTCGTTCTTGAGAACGAGTCGGGCCTTGGCTTTTCCTCATTTGAGTATACAGACATGTGCTGCATGACTGTGCTTTGGTCAATGTATAAACACATACACTGCAGTGGTCTCAAATGATGGTGCCATGCAGCTGGGTGTGTAATGCGTGTAGTACCACCTCGGTAAGTGTACCCTGTGATGTTCACACAGTGATAGACTCGCCTGATGATGTGTTTCTCAGAACATTATCCCTGTTGTTAAGCGACTCATTACTAGATTGTGGACACTGCATTTTTTGTCCAGTAACCTGAGGATAGGAATCTTTTAGGTAAATGGGGAAGGGAGGGAGAGAGAACAAAAATGTGTACACACATCGTTGAAGGACTAGATTGATCTTCCTACGTGGGTCAGGCCTGTTGGTTTTGGGCATTCTGATAGTGTGTGGTGATAGTTTATTGTGGTTTTAAGTTGCATCTCCTAATAGCTAATAATGTTGAACAACCTGTGCCTTATTTGCCATCTGCATATCCTCTTTAGTGAAATGTCTGTTCATATTTAAGCCCATTTTGGGGGTGGGTTTTGCTTTTTTAATGCTAGAGAGCGTGTGTATACATACGTGAGAGATACAGAAAGTGAGAAGAAGCATCCTGTAATGGGGCTCTGTCACCTTGAAATCTTTTTCCTCTATTTTCGTCCTCTCAAGGATTCCATACACATGCACAGACTTGTTTTTCAAGACCAGGGTCTCAAACCCTGGTCACCTGTGTGGAATCCATCTTCCTCTGTGCAGCACTTAGGCACTGCTTTAAGGGGCTGCCATCTTTTACCTATTTTCTAGTGAGGTTTTTTTGTTTTTTGGTTTTTTTTGTTTTGTTTTTTACTGTTGAGTTTCAAGAGTTCTTTATATATTCTAGGTACTTGTCTAGGTACTCGAAGGTCTAGCAAATATTCTAAGTCTATAGCTTATCTTCTCATCCTCTTAACAGGGTCTTTCAGAGAGCAAAAGTTTTTATTTTGGATGAAGTCCAGTTAAGTCCAGTTTATCAGTTTTTCCTTTTATGGTTCTCATTTTTGGTGTCTAACAACTCTGTCTATGTCTAGATCTTGAGGAATTCCTTTTCTGTTTATTTCTAAAAGTTGATGGTTTTATGCTTTGCACTCAAGTCCATGGTCAAGCTCATTTTACTGTGAAGTTTGAAGTTTAGGTCCAGGTTCAATTTTTACTTATGGATGTCCAGTATTCCAGCCCTTCCCCATTACCTCTGGGCTGGCATTGGTATCCCAGCTGCCTGCTTAGCCTCCACAAATCTCTCCTGGCCCATTACCAAGGCAGAAATCTTGTCACCTCTGGGCCATCGTCGAAGTCCTTATTTCACCAGGCCTGCTCAGACACCCTGGCAGGGAGAAGGAGGGGTATATTGTGGCTCCCAGGGAGAATGTAAGTTAAGTTCTTCCCCCCACCCCCACCTGGTCTTCTCTGATGCCCCCTCAGTTGGGGACCTGGACCCCTCCTTACAGCCCAGCCAGAGTGGGAATCTGCTCTTCAGTGGTGGGGGTGTGGGTGGGGCTGCACAGAAGTGGTTGTCTAAGTAGAGTGGGCCCATGGTTGCACACACGTTCTGTCTTGCTGGGCTGTCTTTCTCTCTGTGCCTGTGGACGTGTTGGGGTTGCTGGCTTGCACAGCTTTTTGCCTTCAATATATCAGGCAGCAGGGCACACTGGGAATCCTGCCTTGTCGTTCCTGGGGTCTCAGGGGCCTCGCTGGTCTGCTTTCTTCCTGCCTTTCAGGGTCATTTTATGTTTATCTTACATACAGTGTTCAGGATTTTTATTTAACTGTACCTAATAAAAAGAGTAGGGAGAAGGGGCTAGTGGCTAAGGAGCTGGACTCCCATGTGGCTTACTGCCATTCGAGTCCCAGACCTGGCAGTTTTAAACTCATGCTGTGTGTGTGTGTGTGTGTGTGTGTGTGTGTGTGTGCATGCCCAAAATCCTGAGAGGAGAATTGAAGAGAAGGGATTGCAGCATGGTATCCCCCGTTAGGGGGTGATTTCTCACTTTCTGTTTCTGTCCCTGTCTGTGTCTAGTGTGCACATGTTCCCAATGGCAAAAATACCTCCCCCCAAAATAATAAAGAATAGGGGAAAAACATGTCTGCTGCATCTTCCAAGAATTGGAAGCCAAATTTGATTAATTTTAACATGAGATAATGTGATGAACAGTTCAGAATTCAGGTGATGCCAAAGGGTGTACAGTAAAAATCTGCTTCCCACTCGCCTGTGTCTGTAGTTTCCCCATTCTAGAGGGAACCTGTAAAGACCTGTGAGATTCCAGTCGGGCCTGGGAGAGTGCAGTCTCAGGCCCACGTGGTGTGCGGGTGGAGGCCTGTGCTGGCTCCATGTTCTGGCAGCCTGGCGCCTGCAGGGGCTCCGAGGCTCCTTTCTCTGAGACAGTGGCTGAGTACATTCAGGTGGACTGGGAGGCCATGCTCCACTATTTATCTTGTTTATCCCCTTTTTTCCAGATTGGAAATTTCTTCTTATGCCCAAATCCTCCTACTTAGGCACAGATCTGGTGATTCTCTACACTGCTTTTGTATCCCTTTGAGAAGGTCAAAGAGGGCAGTTCTCATGGGGCTTTTCCCATCAGTAGCCCTTTGTGTTGAGTCCAGCTCCCCTTGATGAGCACTGTGTCCTGTGACTGAAGCTGGATTTGATTCCCAAGGCAGGGGCGTTTCATCCAAATGTCGGATTACACTAATAGCGGCTGAATGTCTTCCTTGCCCGGGTGACCATTCAGCAGCAGGCCAAGGAGGCAGGTCCTGTGTCCGCAGCCGGACTCTTCTGATCCCACCATGCCTTGACGATGATAACAAGGTCTGCTTCTCAACCAGCATGACCATGGCTTTTCCACAGTCTAAAAAACATGAGTTAGCTGCCATTGTAACTTCAGTCAGTTAGAACAAATCACTTAATCTATTCCTCTGTCTCGCAAGAGTGTTTTAAGAGACAGAAGCAAGGCTTGGAAAATATTTAATAGAGTTAATAGTCAGATCAGAACTGTGTTTTTCACAAAACCTGAATAGTATACTTTTTCTTTCTTTCTTTCTTTCTTTCTTTTTTTTTTTGGTATTGGGGTAGAGCTTGGGAGGTCTTTTCTGAAAAGAGATGGTAAGTAGATGTCTTTCAAATTAGGAAGGTATACCAGTCTTATCTTTCCTTATCTTTAAAGCTCCAAATACATCCTATTTGGAATTTTACTGTATAACATAAGCAAAACATTTTGTAGAACAGGTCTGTTGTAGATTTTTTTCTTTGTGATACAGCACACACATGCCCACATAAAACCTTGAGAGAGAAGTGTCTGCTTCAGAGCCTGGTCATGCTCCATCCTCCAGTTCTCCAGCCTGGCAGATCGTGGGCACTTGCACACACCCAGTGTGCTTCAGTCTGACCAGGCCAGAGATGCAAACTGTGGTCACTATGTGGGACTGGCTTCCCTTCAGCTGTGCTATACCCTTGTTACACAGAGCTGGTCCATATCTTAGAATTTACAATAGCTAAAAATACTGATTATACTAAAAATTTACATGGAAGTAGAGTATTTCAGAAGGCAAAGAGGTGGAGAGGGAAATAGATACACTAAAAACAACCCAAAAAGCAACAACAAAAAACACTTCCCCTCAAAAGTGGGTTTATTACATGTTACTCTGGCCCTGTTATCCTGAGCAAAAAATGGAATCCTAATGTTTTAAATGAATTTCACTGACTGCTGAAAGGAAGCATGTGAGTTCATTGGGAGAGGAACATTCTAGCACTGAGTGCATTGAAGTGGGGCATCCTGGGTGTACACTTTGAGTTTTGGTGAAACCACCCTCTAGGTACAGGAGTGGAGCACGGTTAGCAGCTCCTTGGGCCTTTTCCTCCCCGGAAGGGAACAGCGTCCTGTATTCCAACTTCATATGAAAAGCATTATATGTCGGTGTATCCTTTTTTGAAGTTAGCTTATTTATTTATTTAGTTAGTTAGTTAGTTCATTTATTCATTCATTCATTTATTTATTTAGTGTTTCTAGTGTCTCTGGACATGAGCTCAGAACTCCTCCATGTGGCCAGCCTTGTGGAGTATCGCATTTCATTGCTACCTCGCCATCCGGCCCTGGCATGATGTTTTCTCTGCAGTCAGGCTTCGTTTTCCCCCATATGTCTGTGAGGGTCATCTGGTTATGTAGTGAAGGCCTCTCAGTGTGATTTTACTTCCTGCTGTGGCCCCTGGAGCCCGGTACTACTAAACTTGCAGCAGCCCTAAATCAGGTATATCTTTAATGTTTATGTGTGGCTGCTAGTCTTCAGAAAAACTAGTCTCACTGCTCCATTTTCAGTCCTCTGCTGAAAATGGGAACCTATTTTGTTAACCTTACTGCTTCCCTTCTTT